CCTTCACTGAGGGTGTAGAATTTCCCTGCTGAACACCGACCGGCCTGTCCCAATGCAAATACTTGGTTAGCTGGATACACTGCATGAAAACTCAGCGCTGGCATCTTTATTAGCTGTAGTGACTGTGTTAGAATCACTGCTAGCCATGTATTTAATGCTGTCAATCATTAAAGCAGCATTCAGAGGATTAATCTGTACATATACTATGCTCTATGAGGTATAAAAGCTGAACTATTTTGAATACATCGCCTTTGTTTTCACATTTAAAATCTTATGTGTGCAATAAAAGTATTCACAACAGGAACCTGTGTACATTTCTATCGTGTCAGATGGCACCTGTCTTTAGTTTATATGAGGGCCATTCTGGGTGGCTAGGTCCCAAGAAGCTGAGTACTCCTGCTTTTTTCTTACCCTTTGGACTTGGTGCTTTCACCCATGCAAAGTACAACACAGCTCCCCCCCAGCCCACTACCGCTCTCGGAACAGGAGAGAGCAGTGCGGTCTGGTGGCAGCTGGAAAGCTGCGTGCATCTGCCCCAGGTCTTTCCCACCTGTGTGCTATGCGGGCTTTGGCATTCAGACATTGACGCCAACAGTTGTGATTGCATCTCCTAATTTTGCTTGTTTTGATGAGCTAGTAATGTTGATAACCTCAGACACTGAGCATGGAGCAGATACAGTTGTTTGTCATCTCTGTAAAAGCAGCACTGAGTGTCAGCATCTCAAGCTAAGCATCCAAGAAACTTGGCAGTACCTGCTGTGGGGGGCTCTAACCTCAGTCTGACAGTATGGGGGGTGTTGGGAAAATAAGAGTTATAGCTGTCGAGCCCTTTCCAGCCATCCTCTACAACAGGCGCGTCTGTTGAGCTGGGGATTAACCCCTGCTGCATATAAATAGGGTTGGTTGTTTTTATTAAACATGAAACTTAAATAACTGATCACGAACTTTCAAGGCAAAGCAAACACGGGCAGCTTTGCAGTGCCTGTGACTGGGGCATCAACAAGCTCTGCAGGCAGAGTCATCGCTGCTGGATCCTAAATGGCTGGGCGGGTAGAAGATGCCGTCCGTTTCTGTTGCTGGAGCTTGCTGGCTGCCTTCTGCCTAAAGCACACGGTTTCTCGGAAACTGAAAGGAAACAAACCCCACTTCACAGAACCGCCGCCGTTTCCCTGCGCTGCAGCGGGAGGCACGTCCTCTGCTTCCCTGGCTGGGGACAGAGCCAGGAAAAGCTTGGCCACCGCGTGCAGCCCGAAATACCACGGCTGTGCTCCCTGCTCGGGATTTCCCAGTGCTCTCTGCCCCTCGGCCTGACCCTGCCTGCTGAGGAGCATCCCGTCTGTGGCTGCCAAGGCCACCTCTGCAGTGCTGCCCAGCACCGCTGTTAGAAAATATTTCTCCCCATTCAGCAGAAATTACAGCTAAAAGCATTCACTTCCTTTGGGATATTAAACAAAACAAACCATGGGAGAGGAAAAAGAAAGAAGCCAAGCACACATCCTTTTCCCCTGGGGTGGGGGGGTGAGTGTCAGCAGCAACATGAAGACTTTACGATTAAACCGCAAATTTTTCACAGCAATACCATTTCAAGGCAAAAAAAAATAGGCTTCTGGAGATTTTTTGTTTCAATCTCTAGAGACCCCTGAGGTGTAGTACAGATGTGTATAACCCTATTAGAGATGTCAAAACTTTATGAGGTATTATTGTGTTGGTCTTACAAGGACTCAGCAAGTCATGCAGGGGGAAAATAGAAGATAATTTTCCAAGACAGTGGAAGTAACACCTGAAGGTGAAAGGAAAGAATAGAAAAGCGTGTCACAGAGAGCACGGTGACATGCTTGAGGGTGTCATTGTTTGTTTTGTCTGTGCAGGAGGAGGTCAGGGACAGCCCTGTGCTGCTCACAGCTGGCTCAGCACCAGACAAAATTGACCCACTGCACCCCAAAACCGGACCAACCAGATGAGTTTACGGTGCCTCTGCGGAAACATGTTTAAGAAAGGGCAGTGAATGCTGAAAAAGGAGAGACAAGGCCAGGGCAGGTACAACACCTAAAGGGACAGTGACCGGTAGAAGACCCCATGCTGGAGCAGTTGAGTAGGACACAAGGAGCAGCGAGAGCAAAAGGACCCCCACGCACCAACCCCCAGGCCCTGCACCGCCCATGGTTTCACCAAAGGGCCTGAGTGTAACCTTGGGCACAGGGGTGGGGGACCAGGATGGGGGGGAAGAGAGGTGTCTAAATGTTGGTTGGTTTGTTACTTGGCAATAAATTAATTTGATTGAAATTTCCCAACTCAAAACAGGTATTTTTTGGCCCACGACAGGATGTCTGACAATATATGCAGTGAATGAACACTGTGTGTTCAATGTACTGCAGCGTCCCAGATGAGGTTGGGGAGAGCAGAGGAGAAGTCCCCTAGGGAAGCTGAGGTTTGCTTGTGAACTGCTGCAAACAAAAGCCAAAGGGGAGGGAATTGAAGGGCGAACAAGGAAGATGAAGAGGAAAAGACTAAGAAAACTAAGAGGGAAGAGTCATCCTTGAGCAACGTGCACTGCTACCACAGCTCAGGCCAGAGAGCCCAGCTCACCACCATGCTCCAGCTTCTCCCACTGAGAAGTGTCCACAGCAAGTCAGGGTGCACCAGGATCTGCAAGGAGAATCATCCACATTCACATCCCAAAGAAAAAACAGCTCTACCTCCATGCTCCGGACCTGCCCAAGCCCCTTTCCCTTTGGCTAAAGTTGGTGCTGCTCTTTCTTCAGGAGCTCACTCCCTCCCATGCCACCCATGACAAGCACCTGATGTGCGTTCTGCTCTCGGCCAAAAACTTGGTGCTTTCCCCACCGAACTCCTCCCAGGCTGTTTTGGCCCCAAGACCCTGGGAACCACCGACTCCTGCCGCGGCATCCT